TTCAAGCCATTGGACTACATCATGAGTTGTTACTCTCAGCTGCATACTATTTGTATGGATAATGCAAGCAATTGTGATACTACGACAGCTGAGCTGAAACCCTGGTAGATAGTTTTCGTGGAACAGTATCACGTACGCGATGTTTCCCTCACACTGTCAACCTTATAGCGAAGGTATTTTCATCATCAATTGTAATGTTTTGCACTATGCTGACTAGTGTTTCAGGCTTTTATATCATTTTTCTTTGCACAGCTGAAGAAGAAGAAGGTTGTCAAGATTGCAACAGGCTCCAAGCGAAAGCATGCAGGCTCTACTTCTGCAGTTGGGGTCGAGGAGATCACTGTTATAGATGGCGATGTGCTTGAAGCGACTAATGATGCCATAGATGATGAGGCTGGTGACATTTTCATAGTTGATGAAGCCAAACTCACCCATGACAAAGCTGCCATTAGGTCAGTGCATGCACAGGCACTTCAAATTGCTCATGAGAAGTTCAGCATCTCCGTGATGCCGAAGGAGGAAGCCAGCACACTATGTCTTTTTGCGAAGGTGAGTTGTCAGCAGCTACGTTGGTGAGGTCATCTGATTTCTTTTTTTGTTTATACAGGTCACTGGATTGGCTCATTGACTTCATGAAAGCCCTACACTACAGGAAAAGTTCGAGCGATTGGTGGAAGCACAGCCAGAACTTGAAGGAGACAAGAAGTCACTTGACCGTCGTGTACTGACTCGCTGGAACAGCGATTTTGCGTGCCTTGCTGTGCATATCCACTTTGAGACGCCAGTGAAACAGCTTATGAGTGATGATAAGAACAGCCTGCAAGCTTACACATTAGGCAAGGACCAGTGGGAGTTGGCTTACCAGTTGGCACCCGTCTTGGAGGCGAGTATTCCACATGTTTGATTTTGATTGCTTTATCTGATATACAGCAGATATTCCAAGATATTACCGACCTTTTCTCGCAAGTGGAAGTACCTCTGGTGCACCAGACTGTGCCAATGCTAGAGCGACTTGAGCATCAACTCAAGGCGATATTCACTGATAAAGATGGTGAACTGCCGAGTATTATCCGCATCGCTGCAAAAGCCAGTCTTCTCGTTGTTGGTAAGTACTATGCATTAACAGATGATACAGATGTGTATCGTATTGCTATCGGTATGTCAAGTCATCGAAATGGCATTGTAAAGACTATAATACATTAACTTCCGGCTTAGCTATGTGTCCTGACAAGAAGTTGGAGTGGTTCAAGAAGAACCCTGACTGGTGGCTGGAAGATCACGCTGAGGCTGAACGAGTCTTGCGTAATCACTGGAAAGAGTTGTGTCAAGGACAAAGTTCTCCATGTGCACCGGCAGTTGCACCATGCACAAAGGCGAGTACATAATACTATGCTACAGGCAGTTATGTTGAATTGGCACACTTAGACGAAAAGCAAATGGGCACGTACATTCCATGATGATGATGCACTAACAAGCAGCCATCCGTTTGATAGCATAGATGCATATCTGGAGGCCCCAATCGTGTCTAGTCAGGATATCAAGCAGGCAGACAGCATATTAGCTTATTGGTCACAAGCCTCTCAGTTGCGCTCGTGGCTTGCTCACATGGCACTTGACTATCTTAGTGCACCAGGTAGGTCGTTATCTGTTTGCTATTACTGCGAAGCTGACGGTAGCTCTTTTATCATTACAGCATCCTCTGTTGATGCCGAAAGGGTCGGACACCTTGCTGTGAGCCACCTCCAGCATCAGGTATCATCTCAGACGTTCAAGGCTCAGATGGCTGTGGGGTCATGGGTGGGAACTCCTCTATTGCCAGATATGAAGGCTTGCGCAAGCTTGCTTGATGTCATAGATGACTCAACGGCAGCTGCGAAGGGCAAAGCACGGGAGGTGATTCATCTGTAGTAATGTACAAAACATTTCTTGTAATCGACAAACTCGTACTATCAAGCAGTAGTACCCGTGGGTTATCCGCGGGTACCTGTTGTTTACCCACAGATTAACCCGGGTGTAGATAGTATGGGTATGGGTTGGGTATGGGCATATGTCCCATAGGCTCATGTACCCGCAGGCAGCACCCGGATATGACCCGGATTAACCCATGTCACTCCCTACACTGTGTCTCACATATTAGTTGCATATCAGTACAAGGAACGTGACAGGGGACTCTGCAACCTCCTCGACGGGATGTTGTTACTCGATGAGTCCATCTCGCCCTCACGCACCATGGCCACATGCAACCCAATCGGCATCACTATTTTCTACCAAGGCTGGGGTTCCAAACACCTCGAGGCAATCTGGTTCACATCTGAACTCAAGGCGAGTGTGACCACATCATCTCCTTCCCTTC